TGGGGCAGTTCTACTCTGTCCTACAGGGTTGCTATGAGTCAGAATCGATTGGATGGCAATGGGTTTGGTTGTTTTTTGGGGGTTTTTTTGCCCTTAGAAGAGGCACAGTACAGCACAGTGGCTGAGAGTCGGATGAATCACTTAACCTCTCTAAAACCACTTGCGGTCTGGTTGACCCCGACTCATGGTGACCTCATGTGTGTCAGAGGAGAATATGTTTCATAGGGTTTTAATGGCTGATTTTTTGGAAGTAGATCACCAGGCCTTTCTTCTGAGGTCCCTTTGGGTAGACTCGAATCTCCAATCTTTGGGTTAGCAGCCAAGCACATTAACTCTTCGTACCACCCAGAAATTCCTAAGCCTCTTGAATTCAACAAATATTTATTGAAGGCCTACTGTGTGCCGAGCATGGTTCTGGGAGCCCCGCTCACATGCACCTCATGGAGTAGACTGGATGAAGTGATGCTTAGCACTGTGTCTGACACATAGAAATGCTCAGTACATGTCATCCAGCACTGTCATCATCATCATCATTACTGTTATTATTGCTACCACCTCCTTCAGTTCCTCTTAACCACTACCAGGCATTGAGGAAAGAGAATCAAATGCTGGCCTGGTGCCCACCTCCAGGGCCAGTCCCTCTCTGCTCTAGCCTGAGGTCTGCTTCCTCGCTCTCCTAGGTCAGCCCCTGGCCTAGGAGAGACAGGACCACTAACCTTGACCACTGACCTCTCTGGACTAAGATCGGCAGCCCAGCAATAGGCCCAGACCACAGTCATCGTGCTCTGGGGCACACTGATTATAACGGAGGCAAAGTTACACCTGGGAGCCCTAGCAGGCCCTCCCCATGGCCCAGGCCTGCAGAACCCGCAAACCCTTTCTCAAATAACTGTAGGGCAAGTAGCGGTCAAGCTTAGAGGGCCAGCAGGGATTAGGGCACCGGCTTCACCAGGGGTGTGCCTCTGTAAGCCCTGACCCCTTAGCAACCCAGGCAACATGGACCGCCCTAGCCCCTGTCCACAGCCTTCAGAGGTCTCCAATCAACTGCATCCTCCTTCTCCTGGCCCAGGGGCTACAGTCCTGGTCACAGCATCCTTGCACACACTCTGCTTGTTCTAACCTCACACTGCTCAGTGACATGGGGAGGGTGTCTGTGAGGCGCCTCCCCCCTGCCCCAGGGCATGCCTCTTACCTCAGTCCCCTCTTTGTTGACACCGTGCTGCCTCCCAGGAGAAGGAAGGAGAGACGGCACAGCCAGGCCTGGAGTCGAGTCCTGAGCCTCATGAGTGACCAGTAGGTTTGCAGGACCCTGTGCTACAGCCCTTTCCAGACTCTGTATCTCATCCTGGAGTTACTATTCCAGGTCAGTGTGGTCTGCCCATTTCACAAACGGGAAGACAGAGGCTCCAGGTGGTGGGCACCTTTCCCACAGTCACACACTTAGGAAGTGGTGTGGCCAGAATTCAGACCCAGGTCTGATTCCAAAGTTTCTGTTCTGCACTGCCAAGGAACTTAGCCCCTCTCCTGGGTGAGCTCAGAGGGACCCCAGGATGGTCCCAAAGCCTGAAAGTCCAAGGCCAAGAAGCCGGTCCTAAAGGCCACGATGCAGCAGGACGACTGATGGCCTTGGAGGCAGAGCAATGAGGCAGAATCTTACCAGCCCTGTGAGGTCCCCTCACCTCGAGGCCTTACAGCTTCTCTCCGAGGGAAGGGGCTCATATAACGCAGGATTTCCTGAAGTGTGCAGGGCTCATGAGATGATTGTAGATGGTCCACAGCCTTTTTAAAATTTTTAATAGTTATAGATTTGTTTTATTGTGGATTCAACCAGATAGATATAACTAGCATATCGAACTCACAATTTCGTGGATAGTTTTGCTTAGGTAGTGTCTATGTAAGGCAAGGAATCCGTGGGTGGTACAAACAGTTAAGTGTGGCTACTAACTGAGAGGTTGTTGGTTCAAACCCACCCAGAGGTGCCTAGGAAGAAAGGTCTGGTGACCTGCTTCTGAAAGGTCATAGGCTTGAAAACCCTATGGAGCACAGTTCTACTCTGACGCACCTGGGTCGCCATGAGTTGGAATCGACTCAATGGCAACTGGTTATGTAAGTGGGGAAAAAAAGTGTATTGATTTAAGGGAAAATAGTGAGTAAATTTGAATTGTAGTGTTGGCAAAGAATATCGAATATACTGTGGACTGCCAAAAGAACAAACAAATTAGTTTTGGAGAAAGTACAGCCAGAATGTTCCTTAGAAGCGAGGATGGCGAGACTTTGTCTTGCTTATTTTGGATACGTCATCAGGAAAGATCAATCGCTAGAAACGGACATCATATTTGGTAAAGTAGACGGTCAGTGAAAAAGAAGGAGACCCTCCATAAGATAGATTGACACAGTGGCTGCAACAATGGGCTCAAGCATACGAACAATCGTGAGGATGGCGCAGGACTGAGCAATGTTTCGTTTTGTTGTACAGAAGGTCACCGTTGACCAACTCAATGGTAACAACCAGTAAGTAAATAAAAATCCAGGTGGATGTAGGAGATGACCCAAGGCATGAAGGGAATATCAGCATGTCAGTGGTCTGGGAAGCATGAGGGGATGTGATGACCGCACCTCCTAGAGGGGGTACCAGGTGGGAAGGGGGCTGTAAGCAGGGTGCCCCAGCCCACTGGAGCCAGGCCAGGAGAGAAGGAAGTGGGAAGGGAGGCAGAGGCAGAGTCGGGAGAAACGAGGGAGAGCAGGCACATGGGCTCCAGCTCCACCAACCCTCTCGTCCACCCAGGGGCCCCACTGAGCCTGGAGGCCACATTGCTGCCCCCCTCCCTGGCCCGCACGAGCTGCAGCTGGCTGGTGTAAAACACACGTGTTTTGACTGAAGTCACTCTCCCCCACCTCCTGAAAAACACCAACATTAAAGGGAGCGTAGCTTTGTAAAACTGAAACTGTAAAACGCTTCTGAAACCCAGCCCCAGGGATTAAAGAAACCACATGAAGAGATTGGGGACGACCTGAACCCTGACTTCCTGTTCAGAAGTTCCCTCAACATGTGCCTCCCACCCGGGCGGGTGGCGTGTAGAGAGGAGGAGGAGGAGGAAGGAGAAAGCCCAGGGCCAGTGGAGGCCCGAAAGAAAAGGCGCAATGTTGCCCTTTGCCTTGGGACCCTGCCCTGTAGTAATGGAAGGGTGGAGAGCAAGAGAGAGACGAGGACCCAACTTCCTGCTTCCCAGCCCTGTGCCAGTCTCCCTGCTGCTCCAGCGCGGTCCTCACCATCCTCAGCCTGAAGATGCCAGAAGTGCTGTGGCCTCAGCTCAGCCTCTTGTCCAATCACAGTTAAGAGTCCAAGCACAGGAGTCCGCCTACCGGGTTCAGATCCCAGCGTTGCCACTCACTAGCTGTGGGACCAACTGAGGACCCTAATGTGCTTACCCCCTAAGATTATTTGGGGGAAAGTGCTCAGCAAATTGCCTGGTATGTAGTACCAGTACTAGTACCAGTTGTAGCCAAGTCAGCTTCAACTCATGGCAACCCCATATGTGTCAGAGTAGAGCTGAGCTCCACAGGGTTTTCAATGGCTGTGACTTTTCAGATCATCAGGGCTTTTTTCCGAGGTGCCTCTGGGTGGACCTTTCAGCTAGCAGCGTTAACCGTTTGTACCACCCAAGGCCTCTAGCATGTAGTAAGGGTTCAGTAAATGGCAATTCCCCCCCTCCCACACGCACACCTCACCGTGTCACTGACCAGTGTGAGGTTAAAACAAGCAATGTATACACAAGGACACTGTGAGCGGGACCACCCAGGCCCCCGGACCAGGAGAAGGAGAACAACGGTGGTCTTCCTCTGCCCCTTAGTCCACCTCCCATTCCATGACCTTGAGCAAGTCACATGGCCTTTCTGGGCTTAGGAACTTCATCCTTAGAACAAACGATAGGATGAGCTAAGTCAAAGGTCCCTTCCAGCTCAGATGTTCTAGTTTGGGGCCAGGGAATCAAAAGGGGAGAAGCCTGTCTCCACCCCATGACTAGAGAATTTGCCAGACCTGGAGATAGCAGAGGAGTTAAGCGCTTTCTGATACTGCAGCTGAAGAAGGGATGGGTGTGGGCTTCTCCATCTTGAGGCTGGCCATCCAGGGCTGCAGACAGAGGAAGCCAGGTCTGTGGACACACACACAAACACATACACATTATACACACTCCCACATGGACGCATACTCACACCTCCCCACATCACACACATGTCATACAGACACAGACACATACATACACATACACACACATCACAGGCAGCGTGGTGGCTGCCACCCCCCCCATAAAGCTTCATTACAGCCCTCCCTCCAGTTATATAAACTCCCCATGCCCTCCAGTGTCCCCCGCAATCACTTACCTAATATTAGGATATTAAAAAATATGGCAAGATTTTAAGAGACTTATTAAAATGCAATTAGCAGCGTGTACGACTTAAGCAGGGAGATTATTTTTAAAAATGACTTGATTGTGCGGAATACCACGCACCTTCCCGAGGCCGTAAACCTGCCAATCACACACCTTCTCAAATGAAGAGGTTTCTGCGCTTTCTCTCTTTGTCCTTCAGGGTTTTCTCCTACCCCGGTGGCCATGAAGGCTGTGCCCCAACCCCACAAAAGCCACCCCCCACCCCCCCCAAACACACACCAGACCCCTCAAGAAGCCCCTCAGAAGGAAATCAAGGGTTTAATCAGGTCAAAGGCAAAGGGCGAAGAAGCGTGAAGAAACTGACCACAGGGTGGACAATGGGATGGAGAAGCCCCACTCCCCAACTACTCCCACCTCCATTATGATTTGAATCTGGGGCCATGGCTACGGACAGAATCAGGGTGACAAACTGTCTTGCTCTGAAAGGGCTGGGGTGGAAAGTGTTGAAGGGACGAGGAAAGTCTGCAGGAGAGGGTCACTGCTGACCTCCTTTGAGAGTTGACCCTCAGAGACCCCCTCCCGCAACCCCCCACCCTCCGGCAGCGCCCACTAGGCAGGGCTGGAATGGTGGGATATGCTGCCCCCTGCTGCCCGCTCTCTGCACTGCAGCCCCTCTCCTAGGATGAGCGGCCCCGCGAAGAAGCTCGCATGGGTCCAGAGGTCAGATCTTCTCCAGCTGCGTGGTCTCGGCGGAGGACCCCGGTCTCCTACAAGGCTGTAACCTGCGGAGAAACACGCACCTGGAAACGTGGACGGCTCTGCCCGCCACCCCCGGGCAGCCCCACCCTGGCCAAAGAAGTTTATCAAGTGTGCTCGCTACTTCCTGGCATTAGGCTCCCCTGGCACTTTTATTCCAACCATAAAAAGCCTATTTCATTGAGAAATAAAGTCCCATCTCCCTGACGTGGAACTGCTTTCAGAGCTCTTAGCCGCCAAACAAAATTTATGTTTCCTGGATGATTTCTCCTGGGGCTGCAACTGGAAATCGAGGGAGAGAGAGCGCTGGAAGCGCTGTGGGGGTGGGGGTGGGGCTTCCTTCCTCGTTTATGGACATGCGTTTGTTCCTTTGGTTGAAGGGGCCCCGGATACTCAAGGTGTCGGAGACAGAACCTTTGCTTTGGAATGAGAAGGCCAGGGTTCCTGCTGCCACCTACTAATTGTATGACCTTGAGCAAGACACTGAGCGTCAGTTTCCTCATCTGTAAAACGGGAAGAGCAATGCCTTCCTCAAAGCAATGGTGCTAGATGCAGTGAGCAAGGGAGGTCAAAAGTCTGGGTAAGCTTTATAAACGTCAGGGATTGGGACTTCAAACCGATTCCTTTCGGTTCCAACCCTTGCTGAGAATTTTCGTTTCCATCTCAGATATACTGGATCAGAATCTACATTTTAACAAGATCCCCAGGTGATTCTCATGTATAATGAATTTTGAGAATCACTGTTCTAAAATATTGGGTATGGAGCTAATTAGACAATCTATTACAAAGGTGAAGGAGTGCCTCTGCTAATGGTTCTCAGAATTGGTCCCTAACCAGCAGCATTAGCATAGCCTGGGAAACTGTTAGAAATGCAAATTCTCAGCAAGGATTCGAACCTGACAGAATCTGCTTCTATAATGGAAGCAGAGGAATCCGTGGCCTTGGGGAGGGGCCCAGGCACAGATTCTCCCAGGCAGTGGTTCTCAGCTTTACTGTGCATCCAAATCACCTGGAGGGCTTGTTAAAACACAGACTGCTGAGCACCATCCCTGGCTTTTCTAAGAAGTTCCCAGGTGATGTTGATGCTGCTGATCTGGGGGCCTCACTTTGAGAACTGCTGCTCTGAGGGCCTCACTTTGAGAACTGCTGCTCTGAGGGCTTTGAGATCTGGGAGGCCAAGCCTAGGTGGGGAGAGGAGCTAGGACTTCATGTAGAGCAAGGAGGAGCATCTGTTCATATCATCCCACCTGGCATGGCCTGATGTCACGGGCAGGCCCCACCCCGAGACACTAGACCTTCGATCAGCCCAATCGTTGATAGGTGGTGTGGGACTGGGCTGACCTGGGAGGATGGAGCTGCAGAAGTGAGGGTTCTCGCAGAGCTGTGTTTGTGACCCTTAACTCACCACCTTCATGTTCAAGGGATGACCCCACATTGTCACCAGGTTGGATATAGCCAGGCTACCCACTCCTGTTTGCAAACAGCCCAATGCTGAAACTGAGGCTCAGAGAAGTGAGCCGATTGTCAAGGTCACAGGGCGTGGGTGGGTAGAGCTGGTCTCCCGACACCCAGAAGAAAGGTCTTGCCACCACACTGCCTCCTCTCTGGTTTTGCTGTCATTTGGAGGATTACTAAGTTGATGATTACCATTCCGGTTTAAGTAATGTTCAAATACTTAACAGCGACTTGCCTCGAAGGCTGAACGAGCGTGCTGCGATGGAAGAAGCCTTCCGTGGGAAACATCCAGAATCTGGGAATTTGGGACCCTCAACAAGGAAGAACCAATGAGTGTGCCTGTGGCAGGGCATGAAAATAGGTTTTGTGGTCAAGGAGGAAAAACCAAAAGGGAAACTAGACTGGATCTGGTGGCTCCGTGTAACAGCAGAGAAGCACAATAAATGCACAGGGTCAAAGCAGAGGAAAGAAGATGGGAATCCAAGGCTCTGAGGGTGGGCAGCCACCCGACACCTAACCCCCCAATGGCCCTGGTTGTCTGAGACTCCGCCCAGCAGGGCGCTGGCCCCAAGGGAAAGAGTCACCCCGTGCCAGGATGTGCAGACTGATGGCAGATGCATCAGCCATAAACAAATGACTGTAAGGCCTCGGAGGTCTCAGTGGGAAACCTAGACACCCCCGAGGCAAGGCAAACACTCACACACGTGCACGCAGGGGCCCGGAGGGGCACAGGGGCCACACAGGTGACCCGAAACCCTCGTCAAGATCTGGAGTTGTCATGTCTTGGGGGAGAACAGGAGCACTTTCTAATTAAACCCGAGCACTTTCTAATTAAACATGACCAGCCGGGTTTGGAGCCGGTGAAGGAAGAGAAGTGAAGTGGTTTGTTCCAGCTGCGTGGTGCGCTGAGCTGGGAAGAGTGCCCAGAACAGTTAATGCCCAGACCCTCTCCGCCTTGCAAATCGCTGCTCGACTGGGGGTGAAGAGCCATTTATGCCAGGTGAAGCCTGGTGATTTCATTAACTTGATTCCCTTTGTCTTGTCTCCAAGGGCGCAGGTTGGTTAAACACGGGAAGGACTTGGTAAAGGGTCAGTTTATAGGATTCTCTCTCTCCTCTCTCTTGCCCTTGGTTTACCATCTCCCAAAGATGGGGCGTTCTGCAGAGAAGGAGAAGGGGAAGGGGTGGGGGAGATAGAGACAGACAGACAGACAGAGACAGAAGCAGAGAGACTGAAAAAAAAAAGACAGAGAGAGACAGAAAAAAAAAACAAAACAAGAGACAGAGACAACCAGAGAGACACAGACAGAGACAGAGAGGCAAAGAGAGACAGAGAGACTCATCCCCAGCAGGAAGCCTTTCGCAGTGTTGTGGGATAGAAGATGTATTATGTCTCAAGCCTCACCTGGCAGCCACCGCTACTGTGTCGTCTGGATGCAGGGCTGGCACAAGCCGCTCACCAGACAAACTCTTTGAATCACCTTTCCTTGCAGTGTGCTGGGTCGACCCTCCATCATTCCCACTCTCTCATCCAGGTCCCCTGTCCCCTGTCCCCTTGCTGCTGCTCTTGGCCCTCTGAAATCCACTCCCCAGTCAGCCTATTAAAGCATCGATCACAGGCTGCTCCTCTGCCTGAGGACCATTGAGGCTGGAATAAAATCCAGACTCCTGCCTGTGGCGTGCAAGCCCTCAGGCTCACCTCTCCACCCTCTACTTCCTCCTGCTCCCTCCATCCAGCATCACCGACCTACTTTTTGTCTCCGCAACCCACCTCAGGGCCTTGTACTTGCCCTCCCTTCTGCCTGGATGCCCTTCCACCAGGTCCTGCCTCCATTTTGCGTCAGCATTATCTTCTCAGAGGAGCCTCCCCAGACGGTCCCACCCAAAGCAGCCCAGAAGCCGCTCCCCACCCAAGTTGCTTGTTTTGGTCTCTCCAGAGCATTCAGCGTTATCTGGAATTATCGTCAATCTCCACCGCTCTTCACGCACATACACATACGCACACTCGCACACATGCACACATGGGCATGCACTTGCACACATGCACGCACATTGCACATATGCACACATACACACGCATGGACACACTAGAACTTTTGCTCCTGGATGAGGGACTTTCTCTGTCCGACTCAGCGCTGCCCCCACAGAGCTGGACCAGTGCCTGGCATAGAAGAGGTGTTCCATACACATTTGTTGAGTGATGAGGTCCAGGGCTTGCACTATGGGAAGGCAGTTGGGAGTCTGGGGAACCCCCAGACAATGAGCCCATTACATCCATGCTGGGCACTAACCACTGGGAAAACCAGCCTCTAAAGCTGTACCCCCGAAGTCATGTGCTCCTGACTGAGGCCTGGGGGAGGCTGAGGTCTTCTGCTCTCCCCACGTGGTTGGGGCACCAGCCAGGGCCGGGCCTCCTGCTGCCGGCTTCCCCTCTAGGTGTCAGGCTTGCCCTGGCGGGGGGCTGCCATCCTGGGCAGCGCTGCCCGCAGGGGAACGCCTGGCAGGGTGGGCGGGGGCGGGGCTGGCCTTGGAGTCACAGCTTCGATTCAAGAAGGGAAACCATCCGAGCTTTTAAAAAATTAAATGGAGTCAGTAATTTGATTTCAGAGAGAAGCTGAAAACCTCGTAATGGCAGGAGCAGCTCAATTCCGTGGTGAAAAGGAAAAGCCTTAAATGGGGCTATTAAGCTTTTGCCTGGGATGGATCTGCCCAGAGAAGAGGAAGGAGGGGGCAGTGGGTGGGGGTGGGGGGAGAAGTCGTCTTTGAGGTAGAGACCGTTTATCAGCCAAGACAACCCTGATTATTTATTTATTTTGTGCGCGTTCCGGGCGTTGCCGGAGGCCTCCTTGCCTTGGCTGCGTTTCAAATCCCACTTCAGTGATGGGTTCGCCCTGGCAGGGGGGTCTCCCAGAGAAGCACTGAGGGCCATGCTCTGGCTCAGGCCACTGTGCCCCAGCCATGGCTAGTCGCGCCAGGCCGGGCTAGTGGGCAGAAAGCTGGCGAGCACTGGGGGTCACTGGGGATTACTAGGTTGGCCAAAGTGAGCAGGGTGCCAGCTGCTGCCGTGGAAGCTGGAGGAAGGGTGTGGTTAGTAACAAAAATGAAGTAATAATATCCCAATCCTCCCCCTTCCCTATAGGGTCCTTTAGAGACCTGGGATCACAGTCCCCTGAGGTCTGGGGTCCACCCACCACAGGATCTTATCACCACCACCCCCAGAGATGTCTGAACTACGGTGACAGGCCTTCCTACTCTTCTGGGTGAGCAACTGTCCCTTCTGCCTGGGCTGGGAGCGGCCAGCAGCAATAGCAACATAAGGATGGCAACAGGTTCTGAGCACATGCTGGTCAGGCCCTTTGCTGAAGGCTTTATGGCCATTGCTTCACTTAACCCTCATAAATCCCATTGGGGAGGAACTGTTGTTCATGCTTATTTGACTGATTAGGAAACTGAGGCACAGAGAGGTGAGTGATGTGCCCAACGTCACACAGCTGAAGAGGGAAGGGACTTGAGTCCCAGCAGCCCGGCTGCAGAGCTGGCACCCATCACGTTGATGTCTGACCGCAGCCAGGGAGCAGGAAAGCAAGGAGACACAGCTGGGCAGGTTGGGGAGAGCACTTTCATGGTCCTGCTTTCATATCCTGCTCCCTCCGGGAGGCCCAAACACTACCCCCACGTCTTTGCACTTGGCATCCCCTGGGGGCTCCCAGGACTCATCCTCGGAGCCTCCACGGAGGCCTGACAAGGGGGAGCCCTCAGAAAGCCCCTCCCATGATGCTATGAGGTGTGTGTGGGGGGCCCTGACTTTCAGGGCTGGCTGCCAACATGGGCTCCATCGGCTCCTGTTGGGGTGAGGCTCCCTGGCCAGCAGGGGAAGAGTGTCCAAGCTCCACCAGGCTAGGGGAGGACATCTCTGTGGGGGTCTATGGACTGACTCCCTGCTTGCAGAGATGAAGGACTGGATGTGTGTGTAGCCTCCCCTTTCTCCCCCTCTACCACCTGGCTAGGGACAGAGTGTCACATCGAGGTGGACGCCAGAGGGTTCCGCAGACGAGCTGTCAGGCAGCTGTGTTCCACTGGAAGCCACTCAGCAAGAAGAAGGGAGGGAACGGGTTCTGCTGGGTCCACCTGGTGCCTTCCAGGGGGCTCAGGTCCTGAGGCCCCTGGAGAGGCACTGGGGTCTAGCTGTTGCCCCTACACCCTGGGTGTGCTCACTGTTGGGATGGTGAAAGGGGTAACCCTTCCCAGCAGGGTGGTGAGTCCTGGCACCTCTGTGTCCTGATGGGGTTCTGGGGACCACAGGTCCAGGTGCCCTCCAGCTCCCTCCTGGGGCAAGTCAGACCCCTTCTGGGGTAGCCCAGTGGCCTCCCCTATGGAGGATGTTTCCTGGGGCCCCCTGGGGGAATGACAGGAACCCGATGCCTCTTTAGTAGGGCTGGTCATTGAGGGCCTCATCAATGGCTGGAACTCCTCACTGGCCTGGTCAGGCTCCCGTGGGATGGGCTCTGTTGCAGCCATATCCTCCCTTGACCACCATCCCAGCACAAGGGGACTTCCTGGTGGCTGGGTGGAGCCCCACTCAGGCCTTACAGTTCTAAGACTCTCAGCGAGGGTGACAGATGGTCCTGAGACTGGGGACACTTGAGAGTGTTCAAACCTCCAGAGCGGTGGTTGAGGAAGGGTGACTTCTGAGGACAAATGCATGGCCAGGGCCGGGGGGGCTGGGGAGACTGGACTTGGGGAAACAGAGCTAGCCTGGACAGCTCTTGTGGATTCTGAGGAGGGCATAGTTGAAGGCAAGGAGTTTCCGGGGAGCCCTGCTTCCCCCAGGAGGGCTGGGGGCCCTGATGAGCCTGTGTCGTCCTGGGGAAATCGGAGACAGTGGACGCCCAGCTTCTTCCCACAGGTCTGGCCATCTGCAGGTGTAGTCCAAGCCCCTTCTTCAGTGAGAGAGCAGTGGAGAGAGAGAAAGCATTGAGAACAAGAGCATGTGGGCTTCGCACACCCTGAGGATTGCGGACCAGAGAAGGACCCATGGGAGCTGGTTCTCCAGCCTGGCCCTGGGGGTCCCGCCTCAGGGCCCCTGGGGGATGTCTGGGCTTCCTCCCTCTGCGCACAGCCTCTGACCCTCCTCCTCTAACCACTCTCAAGGCACTGGGAGGCTGCAGAGCAGGCAGGACATCGGGGCAAGGGGTGCCCTCAGGCGGGAGCTCTTGGCATCTCCAACTTTCTATGGGGAACCTTCTTAATTTGAGGAGGTGTCACGACCAGGGGTCAGGGTGGGCTCTCTTTGGAGGAAACGGAGTTGAAAGAGACGGGGCTTGCCCACCTCTGCCTCGTGGGGCTGGTCACTTGGAGGAAATGTAGTCAGAGGATACAGAGATGGACTTGCACCGGGCAGTCCATCAGAAGGCCAGTACACAAGGCCTGAGAAAGCTCTTCCCCAAGGCCCCCTCAGGCAGCTGACCCTGCAGTTTGGAAGAGAGAAGAGGCAGCAGATGGCATACCTGCTGGAGGAGTCTCTGGTCCTGGGGACTCGGGGGAGGGAGCAGTCCTTGGCGTGGCAGCTGAGGCAGGCAACTCCGTCCCTGAACCTGCCGGAAAGGAAGCTGAGATCAGCCCTCCTCCTAACGAAGCACAATCCTCCCACCCTCTTCTGTAGTAGCCATGTGTATCCCCTTTTATACAGACAGGCACGCAGACTTCAGAGGCCACATTCAAGCATTGGGTTAGGAACTGTCTTCATGGGCTGGATTTCACAGACCTTTGACTCAGAGTCCTTTTTGAGGATAGGTGGGCATGAAAGTATATTTTTGAATCACAGAACTTCAGGTTTTCTGCAAAGAGTATCTGACCGGTCTCCTCGCCCCGATCAAATGCCACCAGCCAGTTTCATCTTTGAGTCATTCTTTATTGTGAGGCCAAGTACATCGGCCCAGCCCTGGGGACCACGCAGACTCGGGCAGTGCTCATCACCTGCACCCCTTCAAGTTAGAGTCAACCTTGGTGCTATTGACATTCTGAGTCAGATCATTCTTTGTTATGTGTGGAAGAGGTGCCCCATGCTTTGTAGAATGTATAGCAGCATCCCTGGCCTCTATCCACCAAAGGCCAGTACCATTCCACCAATCGTGATACCCAAAAATGTCTCCAGATATTGCCAAATGTCCCCTGGGGGACAAACCACCCCCAATTGGGAACCCCTGGATTTGAGCTTACAGATTCTGGCGCACAGGTCAAATGCAACCCCTAGATATGTTTGGTTTGCCCTGCAGTGTTTTAGCTATTTTTAAAATTAATTTACAAATATTTTAAATTGGGAGCTTTTCTATATAGCGAGCCAGGTTTCCAGCTTCTTGTGGAAAGTCAGCTTTGGCCACACTGCCTGCCTCCCTGCCAGGCAGGCATTGGCTCCAGCTAAGGAAGGGCTGGAATCCTTGGGTGGTAAAAACGGTTAATGCGCTTGGCTACTAACCCAAAGGTTAGCGGTTCGAGTTCACCCAGAGGCACCTTGGAAGAAAGGCCTGGCAATCTACTTCCCCAAAACCTGCCCTTGAAAACCCTATGGAACACAGTTCTACTCTGACACACATGGAGTCACCATGAGTCAGAGATGACTCAAAGGCAGCTGGTTTGGAAGGAAGTTGCTGCTGTCTTTACAGGGGTCTGGAGACTTCCAGTTCACGGGAGTCCTCACCACTCCCTATCATCACCTGACACTGAGAGCATCGCTACTGTTTATCAGCCTACACTTGAGCTATGGGGGTTTGCTATCCTCAGGCTACCTCATTCTCTTACGTTCCCTGCCTGACCCCTAGAGGCATTTCCATCTGTGGCCCCTGCTTTAAAATGTGAAAACAGCTATAGATAACCCAGTAGCAGTTGCTGTGGACTCAATGCTGACTCATGGCACCCCTGTGTGTATCAGAGTAGAATTGCAGTCCACAGGGTTTTTAGTGGCTGATTTTTCAGAAGTAGATCGCCAGGCCTTTCTTCCAAGGTGCCTCTGAGTGGACTCAAATCGCCAATCTTTCGATTAGCAGCCAAGCGTGTCAACTGTTTGCACCACCGAAGGACTTCATAGCTAAACCACCCCTTAGTTTCTCCAGGCTGGGCACTCCATTTCCTCCACTGTTCCTAACATGTATGATCTTAAATAAGTAGAATTTGTCCTAAAGGCTCTAACCACTTTTTTTTTTGGGGGGGGGGGGTGCGGTGGTAGCAGGACCCTATAAAAAAATCTGTAACCATAGTGAGCTAAGACAATCCCAGCATATTACTATTTCAACTTTCTAGTCATATATTTACCCAGAGAAATGTTCTTTGCCTAAAACATTTTTCAAAAATTCCCAGTGAGTATATTCAGTCGAACAAGCACTTATGAAGGGCTTGCCATGGGCACGGCGGCATGATAAGGACAGGGAAGAATCAAAAGCTGAACAAGACACAGCTCCGGGAGTTCACAGACCAGAGGGAGAAACAAGACACTGCACCAATAACTATAGTCAGAATGGAAAGTTCTAGAAGCTGCAGGGGAGGTGCAGGGAAGGTGTGCTGGGAACCAGGGAGAGGAGAGATTTATTGTGGCTGCTGATATTAAATTAATAAAACGAGGAAGAGAACATTCTTTCCCCATGTAAATCTTTCCAGAGAGGCAAAAAAAATCTTCCTAAAATGTTTTTTATTGCAGTTGCTGAGCTATTTCTGTATTTTATTCACTATCTCCCTATCAAGAACCTACTCTCTCTTCAAAGCCCAGGACAAAGATCATCAGCTGTTTGGCATCTCTCCTAGGCCTGCCTGCCTTCCATCTTAATTCTCTGGACATTTCTTATCTCACCTTCCAGACTGGACGTTGCTTGAGAGTAAGGACTGAATTTAGTGCCCTCTGCTCCCGCCAGGGCCTCACGCACTAAACACTTAGTGAATCTTTGTCGGATAAACTTCTAGCCCTCCCTTTTGGAAATCAGTGTCATAGCTGCAGGAGATTTAAAATAAAAACAGCCAAAATGTATAAAAACTTTCAAGAAACATTTCCATTTTTAACAGAATGTTTGAACTCACCACCCTCCCCCATGCTGCCTTTTCCTTTGTTTTTAATTCTAAATTTGTGGCTAGATGTGGTAGGCAGTCCCCCTTTTAATCTTTAAAACCGAAACATCATATCCTGGTAACGGGGCATTCTTGCACTATTAACATCTGAGTTAAATCTCCTTCACGTCTGTCTTCTATTGAGGACAGTTAGGGATTATAAGATGAAAGTGATCGACATCGTTTGTGAATTATGTGTATTTCCTTATGCTGTATTTCAATGGGTTTTGCTCCTGGTGGTTTTGCATGTGTGAATACCAGGTTGTCTGGTAGCTGTGCTTTCACCGAGGACATAGCCCCCAAAGCCCCTTTCAAGATGAGAATTCAGCATCTTGGCACAGAGGACACACACCATGTTTCGATGTTTTCTCTTGGGTTGAGAAATAAATTGCATCATGTACTACTCTTTGTCAAGTACTCGAGCTGTCTATTAAGTGACCTGAAGAACTGGGGACCACACAGAAATCTCTGGGTGGATTAAAATGGAAATCACTCATCTTGTGCCAGACACTCTTCTAAGCTCCTCACTTCCATTCTCATCCAATCTTCACAACAGCTCTATGAAGCAGGTACTATATATTACACCCATTTAGTAGATGAAAAAACTGAGGCTCAACAAAGTTAAGTGAGTCACTGAGGTCCTGCAGCTGGCTCGAAAGTCATTTTCCCCTGCCCAACAGTCTAACTCCAGAATCAGTGACTATGCCCTCACTTCGCTCCCATGCCCCCCCAGTTCCCCCCAGTGTGACTAACACCATTGTTTACTTGGTTAGGTGTGGGACATGTCGGGCCCAGGAAGGGATGCCTTATCACAGGAGAAAAAATCATAGGGCCAAGGAAAAGGGGTTCATGCAGCGTGTGCCTATTACAAGCAGGCACACCCTCATGGTGCTTCACTTACCTACACATCGAAAGAAGTTCTCCACTGTCCAGAGGACTGGGGTGGCCATCTCTTTGAATTCCAGGCTCAGGTCTACCCTATAGAAAGCTTGTGTTCCTGGGGCTCCTTGGCCCTCCTGGCATTGCTGTGGGGCAACGAGGAATTAGTTCCATGTGACAGGGTGCATTCTGTGCCCAAGGAACTAGCTTGGCAAGAGGGCCTAGCCTCAGAGGCTTACCAAGCCAAGGTCCGTGTTCAGCCAGTCCCACAGATCTGCTCTCCCTGTTTCTGACCCCACATGGTATCAGTGACCCAAAAGAGAAGGAGCCTCAGGAAGGGACAGGACTGCAGATGTCACCAGGACACTGACCTGGACCCGGAGCACCTCAGCTGCCAGGATGCTGACCACCACAAAATCTCGACTCTCGGTAACTGTGAAGGTGCTGGATTGGTGGACTCGGAGGAACTGTAGGCTCAGGCTTTCCTTGAAGTAGCCACCTCTTTTGACCAGACCCAGTCTCTGCTTGGGGATATGAACTAAGACCTCCAACTCGGACCGGGATGACACTGGAATGGGGAAGGACACACGGCACAAAAAATACACACTCCTTGAGTATGTAGACAGGACCTTAGACAGGGGCCAGGCCTGTGGCCAGCACAAGTCAGTGACATGAGATTCCTCGGTGTCCTGGCACAACTGTCTGTGCTGGAACTTGGCTGCACTCGTGAAGAAGAGAAAAAAAAAGTCATCCCCAAACTCCAGGTGATCCTGCCATTTGCAAAGGTCAATAAGGAAAACAATGCCAGGAAGGGTGCTGCCCGAGAAACTGCTGAAATGTCTCTGCCAAGACTGTCTTCCGCCTCAGTGACCTAGCCTGGTGCCCCTTCCATTACCAAAGCTGCTTTTAAGAAATACAACTCATATCAGTTGTTTACACTTTAGCAAGAATTTAGTTGTGTCAGCTCTCTCAAGGGGCATTTTAAGCCAGCTCTGCAGTTGCTAAATGAAAGCATCTGTCTCCAAATAAAGGGATTTCGAACATCATGAACAGGAGGAGAGATGTCTTGGGGCTTGGCGAGACCATCCCCAATGCCCTAAACTCACCAGAGCCAGGATTGTGAAACTCATTTCATAATAAAATTCTATATGAATGTGAAGTCTTAGTCATCGCTGATCTGCCCACACAGGAGAAAGCCTTTGCTCCACCTAATTTTGCACAGAGTTCTTTAGAATTGAAATTCCCTGGAGATAGGAAGTGGTCTTCCAGGTTCTCAGCCTCTCTATATTACATAAGGCACACAGTAATGGTGTCATACCAGGCTGAACAAAATGGTTATAATATGCATGATCAAGATCGGGGCACGGTGAGACCCTAGAGCCCTGGAGAGTCTGATGAAGGCCGCAGACCCTCTCCCACCTTTGTGGATAGTTCCCAGCGTTCTCAGACTCCCTGGATCCCATCTTGGGATCTCCTAGGAGCTTGGAGACCACAGGCTGAGACACCCTAGCTGATGATTCTACTTTCGTCCATATTCCACATCCCGCCCCTCCACCACACCACCACCCTCTCCAGCAAGACCAAACTCCTCTTTGTCCCAAGAATTTCAGAAATGCCCAGCCAAGGCTGGGGCTAAGAAGAGGAGAGGTGAGGTGGGATCCACGAAAATAAGGTGCCCAGAGGAGGGAGGAGCACTAGACGAGATAGTGATGAAGCTGGAAAGGGTGGACACTAGGTGCGCTCCTGCGTCTTACCCGGTGGGCAAGTGACTTCTAAAGAATAGGCCGAGTAGCCACTGACCAGCCAGAGGGGCAGGAGCTCCGTGGAGGTGTTCAGCACCTGCTGGGGCAGGAGTGTCCCCTTGTGGCTTCTAACACTGCTCTTTCCAGAGCAAACTCCCTCCACAGAGCCCTTCCACTTCCCACCCTCGGACCACTCCCTGGATTAACCCCCAAGTGTTATGGAGCCCAGGCCAGGGACCACTGCTCCCGCTGCAACCAGGAAATATTATTTTGCTGGGATATTTTTAGCAAGAAGAGAGCTCAGAGCAAATGTCATGTGAGCTGTCTTCTCTTACACGGCAACTTTGGGCTATTTAAGGAGACGGTAATTACGCTCCTGCCACCATGATCAGTACGAGCAGAATACATGATTGCAGAAGCCCCTCATCTGCTGAGTGGAGCACTTTACACTAATGGGGCCCAATTTTCAAAGCTGCCTGCCTAAATCTGTCCAGCCTCACAGGTGGACATTTGAATCGGCACCAGAGGTACAGCAAAGCGTTCTTCAGGGCCTCGCCGCTGCTTCCACCAGCACGTGGATGAGCCCTCTGCCTCGGAAGCCCCCTGCCCTGGCAGGGCCTGCTGCCCACCACTCACCTCCTGCCTCTGAAGAAGGTCTGGCCTTGGGCTTTGAATGGTGATGGAGGTGGCATTGATGTCCACATACAATCCCATCAGGCTGGCATCTTCCAGGGATGCCACCAGCTCCCCTTGAAGGGACAGCAGCCATGGGGGCTAGAGACACAGGAACCCACTCATAAACTGTCTGGCCAGGGAGAGCCAGTCACTGGGGGGTGAGGAGTAGGGACACTTCAGAGGACACTCAGGAAGGTGACAGGCCATCGGGAGGATAGGCAGGACCGGGAGGCAGGGTAGGCAGGCCACTCGGGGAGGAAGGCAAACTGGACACCTCCACTTCTTGTACTTTTGGGGAGCAAACCTCTTGGGGGAGGGCTTGGCACATAGTAGGTGCACAATGCGGCAGGAACAATGAATGAGCTGTTAGCCCAACAGCAATGTCGTCCAGTCAACCCATACTCAGCCCAGGTCAGGCACCCCTGGAATCTTGTCCTCAGTTCCACTTGCCATGCTTTAGTAGGACATTGGAGCCCCGGTGGCACAGTGGTTAAGCATTAAAAGGTTAGCAGTTCGAGCTCATCAGCCACTCCATGGGAGAAAGATGTGCCAGCCTTGGAAACCCTATGGGGGCAGCTTTACTTGTCCTATAGGGTCGCTATGAGTTGGAATTGACTTGATGACAGTGGGTTAGGGTTTTTTGGTTACTAGGACATTGGCCATCAGGGCCTCAAATAAAGGTGGGTGTCTGGCTGGTGGGAGAAGGCAAGGGAGGTGTCCCCAGCTCCCATCCTAGGAGGACTGGCTGGAGGAATTCGGGAGAAGACTTGAGGAAGAGCATGCTCACTGGCTTCAAATATCCCAAAGGAAGTGAAACAGAGAAGGGACTGGCTCCTCCTGGGAGGCTGCAGAGAAAAGGCAGCGAGTGGAAAGTTCCGAAAACAGCTGTTCAATACGGAAATGAGTGGCCCTGCACAGAAGTGAGCTCTCCGTCACTAAAGTCCCCAAACAGAGAATCTGTGTGGGAAGGAACTCTGAGGCCTCCAGCCCAACCTCCCACCCAAAGCGGGGGTCCCCTTCTCAGGGTTCCTCTTGGTAGGCCTCAGATCTCTGCCTGGAAGGTCCCAGGAGGCGTCACATTACTACTGGGAAGACACCACCCTGGAAGAGTTGGCACTGTCCACTGATTCTCTCTAAAGGAGGGCAGGGGAATGCAAACTCTCCGCCTCCGAGCACCTTTGAGCATCAGGCCTACATGAATGGGATACCACCTTCGGGAAAGTTCTCCTGCCCCACCTACCTGTCCACTGGAGCTTCCCAGGGGCAGTGGCCGTGAGACCTGCAGAACAAAGAGGAGGCAACATCTCCCTGGCAAGCGGTAAGAAAGGTGAGTGAGTAAACATTTCTGCCTAAGCACATAAGAGCTGGCAATTACCCCAGCAGGAGGCTGGCAAGAAAGAGGTGCCAGCCGGGTTGTTTGCTCATTAAGACAAGAAAATCATTTATGTTCTGTGACTTGAGTGTCAACAGACCCAGAGAAATGTCGCTGCCTCAGCTGCTGCCCTGGGCCCAGCCGAGGGGGCAGCTGGGGTCCCGGGCACAGCTGGTGCAGCCAAGAGAGGCTGTGCGTGCAGTGGGGCTGCCACTCAGGGCTCACTTGCCATTGGGGTTGCTTCCCCAGATTCCTCTTCCATCTTGCTTTTCTCCCTAGCTCACTCATTTCTTCCTTGCCCTTTTTCATTCTGTTTCCGGTCTAACAACCATTGGTTGAGAGAGTGAGTCTGTGAACTGAGCACTCTCACCAAATGGCACCACACTTGGGGTGACCAACCGTCCCAATTTGTCCAGTACTGAAGGGTTTCCCTGGATGTGGGACTTTCAATACTAAAATCAGTTGCCATCAGGTCATCTCCCATTAATGGCGACCCCGCATGTGTCAGAGTAGAACTGTGCTCCATAGGGTTTCAGTGGATGATTTTTTGGAAGTAGATCACCAGGTCTTTCTTCTGAGGTGCCTCCAGGTGGAACCTCCAACTTTTTGGTTAGCAGCCGAGTGCATTAACCATTTGCACCACCCAGGGGAGCCCTGTGGTGCAGTGGTTAAGCGTTCGGCAGCTTACCAAAAGGTCAGCCGTTCGAAATCACCAACCACTCTTTGGAAACCCTATGGGGCAGTTCTACTCTGTCCTATAGGGTTGCTGTGAGTCGGAATTGACTTGAAGGCAACAACTTTGGTTTTTGGTTTTTTGGGGAGAGGACTCCAAAACCGGGACAGTCTGGGGCACACTGAAACAGCTGGTCACTCTCCCACGGAAGAGCCTCGCAGTGACCCCTGCCGGTAGCACCCTTCTTCCCATTTCACAGAGGAGACCCTTCCCTGGAGCTCTGGCTGCAGCCAGTGGCGCCCTCCACCTAGCCGAGCTCTTCTCTCGATTCTTTCTGCTTTCTCCAGTCTCCCCTTTGCCTTTGCTTCAGACCTGGGCAGGGAGGTCGTGGCACAAGGAGAGAGTCACAGACCAGCAAAGCGCCCCTCAGAGACCATCCGCCTACGCCTGGCGTACAAGAAGGGGAAACTGAGGCCAGAGATGAATGGATCACCTTGACAACCCTCAAGTTCCCTGACTCCTCCACACGGGCTGAGAGGGCTCCTGCTTTACCAGCAGAAAGGAGGCCCCCCAAGGTGGCTCAGACTCCTAAGGTCCCCGGCTCTGCTGCTCCCTCACCGGAAGAGCGGTCCCCCCTCCTACCAGCAGAGGGAGCCCTAGGTGAGTCTCCGCGGTTTCCCTGTCTTTGGACGTGCCGCCTTCACTTGGGAGGGAAGAGGGCGGAATGGGGACCGATGCTGTGGTTTGGTGTTGGAAAGGAGATGATTCGGCGTGTTCCCTTTCAACCCCCAAAGCCTTGTGCCTTTGTTCCCACGTCCCAGTCGGGTGCACTGCGACCTGGAGGAAAAGAGGGGGAGCCCCGGCGTCTGGGCTTGCAGAAGGAGGGAAACAGGTGTGCTAAAAGAAAAGCAGGACAGGCTGGATGGTGAGCGCCTCGATCGCGGCCGGTGCCCTTCAATGCCGTGCCCGCGAGGCTGGGGGAGGCTATATTTAGGGCCCTCGGACATTCCGCAGGACCTCCAGTCGCCTGCGCTGGGAGCAATCGCTAATCACTGCATTGAGTTTACGGGTGCCCCTGGGCACACTTAACCCCGGGCAATGAATAGTTATTGCCGGCCTACTGCTCGGGACCTGTGGGCACACTTAAACGAGCGCGCGGATGGCTGCGTGCGGGGCACGGCTCGGGTACACCCTTGGGCACCCTGCGCCATCAGCGGGGAGAGGCAGAGTATTAAATATCTATGTGCCCTGTGCCCACAGCTGCATTTAGCCAAGGGCAAGGCCGGGGAAACGGCTTTAATTAAAACTTAATGCAAGTTCAAGGTCCAGCCATGGAAGCGGCGGCTGCAGAAGCCACGAGGAATGAATCAGTCAATTCGATGAGGTTTTGGGACGGGGGGAGGGGTGAAGGAGAGTGGGGTAGCGAAGACCCAGCTTCTGCCGCGTGCTGCGTCCCGGTTCCGGCAAGCGGGGCTGTTGCACGCTCAGACATCTTAGGTGGTGAAAGATGGTGGGGATTCGGGAGTCCGAGCTGCAAAGGTAGGGCCTATAGGGACAGAGAGGGTCCCGCTTTTCTCAGCAACTTGGCCCAGAGCCGCCGGACATCGGCAACATCGGCCCCCTGGTGGCAGCTCCCAGAATAACAGGCCCAGTGCAGAGGGAGAAATAACCAGCCCTGAAATGTCAAACCCAAGTCCTGATGGAATTCTGGGGTAGGGCCCAGTAATTCTTATGAGGACCAACACCAGGGTTGGCATGGCCTCTGTGTGCCACTGAGAAGAGGGGTGGGCAGAGAAAGCCCTGTCTACTCAGCCCCTGCTCCTTAAGGTTGGGAGGCAAATGAGTTTCAGAGAGGTCTACCCAGCTGTCCAAGATGGCAGTGGTTTGTGGCTCCCTACCCCCACGTATACACACACTAGTTTTTAAATTCAGACCTGATAAGAGTCAAACTATAAGCTCTTCCTGGAAGCAAGAGACCATGTCATATCCAAGATTGTTCTCTTGGCACCATCACAGTGCCTGACATGTTGTTGTTGTTAGCTGCTGTCAAGTTGCCCCCGACTCATGGCAACCCCATGTACAACCTAATGAAATGCTGCCCGGTCCTGAGTCGTCCCCATGATTGGTTGCAAATCAGACCATTATGAGCTATAGGGTTTTCATTGGCTGATTTTGGGGAGTAGATTGCCAGACCTTTTTTCCTAGTTAGTCTGGAAGCTCCACTGAAACCTGTTCAGCATCATAGCAGCGCACAAACCTGCAATGACAAATGGATAGTGGCTGTGTATGAGGTTTATTGGCTGGGAATCGAACTCGGGTCTCCTGCATGGAAAGCGAGAATTCTACCACTGAACCAGCACGGCTGTTGTTAGTTGTCTTGAGTCAGCTCTGACTCATGGTGGCCTTATGGGTAACAGAATGATACATTGCCTGGTCCTGCACCATCCTCACAAACATTCATATGTTTAAGCCCATTGTTGCAGACACCGTACCATCCCATCTTATAGAGGGTTTCTGTGTTTTCGCTGACTATCCACTTTACCAAACATGATGTTCTTTTTTAGTGGCGTTGCCATAGAGTCGATTCCGACTCATAGTTTCCCTATAGGACAGAGTAGAACTGCCCCATAGGGTTTCCAAGGAGTGGCTGGTGGATTTGAACCACCGACCATTTGGTTAGCAGCCCCGTGCTTAAGCACTGCACCACCAGGGCTCCGGCCTGGCCTGACACGTAACCTGTAGCCGTTGAGTCGATTCAGCCTCATAGTGACCCTACAGGACAGAGTAGAACTGCCCCACAGAGTTTCCAAGGAGCACCTGGTGGATTTGAACTGCTGACCTTTTGGTTAGCAGCCATAGCACCTAACCACTAATAAATGCTTGTTGAGTGAATGGTAATTGTTATTAGCAGCCTTTTTGCTCCAATCTCTTCCTTTCTTTCCTTCTTTCCTCCTCTCTCCCTTCCCCTTCTCTCTCCTCTTTCCTTCCTTAGTCCCATGTTCCTCATATTCTTGAGCAAAGGTTGCAAACTGGCATCACTCAGGCCAAATTCAGCCCACCATGTTTTGTTTGAGCCATGCAGTATTTAAAGAAAAAAATTAAGTCAACTTTTTGAAATTAGGAGATTTTACATATAATTACAGATTTCTAGTTTCTTTGAAAAGTTGGAAAATTTGACAAGATGAAACTGGACGGGTGGGGTGGCACCTCTCTGGGGGGGGTTTGAGTTTGGGGGACATGGTTGTTCCAGCTTGCCACAGCCCTACCCTCTGCCAGGTCAAAGCCACCTCTGCCATCACCAGCTGGGGGACCTCAGGCAAGCTTCCTCATCTCTCTGGGCTTAGTTTGCTTATCTGTAAAATGGGGGTAATAGTAGCCCACCCAGCAGTACCAAGGCCTGGAGATCTGCTTCCATTAAGATTACAGCCAAGGAAACCCTATGGAGCAGTTCTACTCTCTAACACTTGGGGTTGCCATGAGTCAGAATCAACTCGAAGGCAACCAACACCAACACCAACTGCTTAGGATTGCTGTGAAGATGAAGTAAGCTGATATTTGTGAAGCGATTACAATAGTGCCTGGCACAGAGTGGTACGTATGTGTTCGCTAAATAAATAAAGACAGGAATAGGATTCTTTATCCCCGCTTCTGTCTTGCCCACTCATTTCTGATGGGGGCTCGGCCTCTGCAGGCATTTGAATCTGTAACCCCCCTCCCACCAAGCCTTTTTAGCTCACAGAGGCTCTCCTGGGGCTAAAGAGAAACCTGTCTTCAAGGAGCCCCCAAGGCAGTGAAAGCGCTCACAGTTGGACTTTGGAAGAAACCTCCACTTCCTAACCTTTAAAATGGGGACATTACACCTGATTGGATTGGAGGTCCCTTTTATGGCAAAAAGTCTATAATTCTTTGACATTACCCAGGGTCAAGAATGGGCATCCGAAATAGCAAGTTTCTTTAATCCAGAGAGAAGGCAAGAACACAGAACACAATTCTGTGGCTTGGCTGATAGCCCGGGTCCTCCCACTGTCCCCTGGATGAGAACAATACTGTAGTTCAGGGACCTTTCCTCCCCACTCTGCAATCCTATCTCACCTCTTGTTGTTCAGACACCCCCCTTCTGCCCCTGTACCTTTCTCTCCCACAAACCTGGGCATGGGGGAGAAAGGAGATACCACGGGTGAAAGCTTAGTGGTACCCACCGCCCAGTGAGTGCCACAAACATCAGCCAGCAGAACAATGCCACCCTGCATCTCCAGCCACCACCTCTCCACTGGGGCCACCTCCTGGGCTCAGAGGCCCCACCTCCGGCCTTGGCCTTGGAGGGAATCCCCGCCTGGGATGCCCCTCAGACCTCTGAGCCCTTTACCTGGACGAATGTAGGCCCGCAGTGGACGCACACTTGGCCCAGGCTTGGCGTAGTCATCGGACACTTCATTACATAGCCATCACGCTGCTCCAACCTTCTTACCCTTTTCTGAAATATTCTGATTTCCAACCTGTAATTTGCTTTCTGGAAATAGGATGAGATTCATGTGTGCAAATGAAAGAGGGAAATACAGTTAATAGGCTGCAATTATAGGTCAGTGACTATTCACAGCAAAAGTGATTAACACTAACTGTCCCAAAGTCGGCAGGTCTCACAGAAGAGGGCCCGAGGCCAGCAGGGACTCAGATCTGAGTCTGGCTTCTGGGCTGTGGCAGTTCAGCCCCTACTACGGAAGCCTTTGAGGTTGGGGGACATTTGTAGATTTCAGGAAGTTTAAGTCTGGTCAGACAGAACGAGAAAATCCTCCAATCGTCCCTTGACGGTTAACAAAAATTTGCTACTTCAACCCTCAAGACTGTTTCATAGGAAGGCTTTCTTATTCCCATTTTACAGATGAGGCAGTTGAGGCTCAGAGGAGGTGACTAAGCCAAAGGCACATGGCATACAGCCATTCTTGGGACTGGATTCAATTATGATCAGGTTGGGCTCCTTCCGGAACTTGGATGTATATAACATGGGGCTTCAGAGATGTCAAACCAGCAAGTCCCACAAAGGACATGGGGCTGACCTCATTCAGCCACAGAGGAAGAATTATGGTGGGGACCTGAAAAGGGTGTGTGTGGGAGGGGGTGCCAAAGAGGAGGAGTGATGGCAGAGAGGAAGAGAAAGCGGAGGAATAGGATAGTTCCTGTAGATTCTTCCTCCTCTTCTGGCCTAAACTCCACTCAGGAGGAACTCTGGGCTTGGACAAGGAAGGAGTAAAGAAATGAAGCAAAGAGGAAATGGAGGTGAGAAGAAAAAGAAAAATAAGAGGGTCCATGGAGCTGTTTGTCCCTGGGTGGTGCAAACTGTTAAGGGCAAAGCTGGTAACAGAAAGGTTGGGGTTTGAGTCTACCCAGGTGCCTCGGAAGAAAGGCCTGGAAATCTACTTTTGAAAAATCAGCCATTGAAAACCCTGTGGAACACAGCTCTATTCTGACACACAAGGGATTGACATGAGTCAGAATCGACTCAACAGCGACTAGTTTGGTTGTTTATGTTGGGGCAATTTACACCCTCTTAGGAGCCAGGGAGTGGGATTAAAGCAACAAGAGTGTGGTAGAAGCTGAACCTCCAGGCCCCCAGGCCATCAGCCTGCTAACACCAGAGCCTCTCCTCCCCCACCTGCTCCCCCACCCCAGGAAGCATCAGCTCCCCCTGTCTCCATCTGACTAGCATAGGACTACCGCTTGGACTCCAGATCCCAAGCTCCCTCCCTTGACTGAGCTTTCCCTCGGGTAAGGTCGTGTGGGGCCTGGAGCTCAGGCAATTTGGTGGGGGGGGGGGGCTCTTTAAGAAACAGAATACACAAATACCTCACTTTTGCAAATTTTACAAAGGTCATGTGGTAGCAGAAGGAGCCTGACCTAATCTTGAATTCGGAGCCAGTAATGGCCACATGCCCTGTGCCTTTGGCTTAGTCAGTTGCCTCCTCTGAACCTCAACCCCCTCATCTGTAAAATGGAAATAAGAAAGTCTTCCTATGAGACAGTTCTGAAGGTCAAAGGAGCTAATTTTTGTCAACTGTCAAGTGATGTTTGGGCAAAGCTCTTGTGAACACCTAAGGAGTCCATGCAAGTGGGGGGCCTGGAATCTTCCGTTCCACCAGCTCTGTGGTAACTCAGCCTCTGCTGAACTCCATAGCGCCATTTGTTCACTTTATTAAGCACTTATTGAGCACCTACGGTATGGCAGGTTCTGAGGCCAACGTTTCAGATATAGGTTAAATACTCCAAATCTAGTCGGCAGATAGCTACATGAGCAGGGGGTGGGGGGCAGGTGCAGTGATAAGAGCAGGTGCATTGCACAGAGGAGGAGTGATTGCTAACAGGAAGACTGCCTGGAGGAGGAAGCATCTGAGCTGGGTTAACATGGCTTTTGATGTCTATGCCTGTAAGCTTTGTGAGGGCAGAGCCTGCGTCTCACCCACTTGTCTCCCTCAGCTCAGTGCCAGGCATGGGGTAGTTTTCTACAGAGGAATAATGGTACAATGCCTCCTTACCTAACATCTGTGCTCAGGCTTAGCTCTCTTTGTCTCCCCGAATGGAAACGTTCCAAAAGACAGCTTCAAGTCGCCCTATAAAAAATGTTTCCTAAACCCACCTCCTTCTGCACAAAGCAGGCCGAGTACAGAGCTCGAAAAATGAAGTCGCCATTGGGGTCGGGATGCAGGAAGTAGCCACATTTGGCAAGAAAAGGATCCAGGCGTCCGGGGGTCCTCCAGGTCCCTGTAAGGGGAAAGGGACGGAAATGTGGGTGGGGCTTCCTTAGGCTACTTCCCCAGGCGAAGTCAGAAATCTCAGATACCCAGGTATAAACCAAAGGGCTGCTCTGCCCAGAAGCTTCTTGCTTGTAGTGGTTAAAGATAACACTAACAGGGAAAGGCCTGGAAAGTTATACATCAACACATTGATTCTACCTTCAAAATACCATCCAGAGTCTGGCCCTTCTCCCCACTCTGTCCTGGGTTTATGCAGCTGCCTCTTCTCCTGTTTCCTGGCTTCCTCCTTCACTGCTACTGTCTACTGTCCACATGGCAGCTGGCAAGATCCTGTTAAAAACTAGGTCAGATCATGTCCTTCCTCTGCTCAAACCTTCCCATTTTTCCCTCAGAGTAAAAGTCAAAGTCCTTGAAGGTCCCTCGCGATTTGTCCCTCACCTCCCTGGCCCCCTGGCCCACTTCTCTTCATCTCCCTCACCCTTCTCCAGCCCCACCGGCCTCCCTGCTATGTCTCAAGCATGCCAGGCACGCTCCTACCCCAGGGCCTTTACCCTGGCTGTGCCCTTTGCCTGGCACTCTTTTCTCTCACTTCCTCACCTCCTTCAAGTTTTTGCTCAAGTATCACCTTCTCAATGAAGCCCACCCTGACTGCCCTGTTAACATTGCCCTTATCCTGTTCTCCTGTTTTCTTTTTCTGTAGCACTTACTGCCTTCCATCCAGGGTGCCTGGGTGGTGCAAAGAGCTAACATGCTCAGCTGCTGACTAAAAGGTGGGAGGTTGGAGTCTACCCACAGGCACCTCAGAGGAAAGGCTGGGCGATCCACTCCCAAAAAAATCAACCATTGAAAATCCTATGTATGGTGCACAGTTCTACCCTGACACACATGAGGTCATCATGAGCCAGAGTTGACTCGAAGGCAACTGGTGGGTTTTTTTAACCTAATATCTAACTTACTTATTTATTATGCTTATAGTTTGCCTCCTTCGCCCAAATGTCAGCTCCATGGGGTCAGGGGTATTTGTCTGTTTCGATCATTACCTGGAGAAGTGCCTAGCATATAGAGGGTTCTCAATAAACATTTGTTGAATGAGTAAAAAAATAAAGAGTGAAATTTCTGGGTAGAGGGATCACGGGTAGTTTTTATTATCTTCTTTGGATTTTTGCTAGTTTCCGTAATTAACTTGTATTGCTTTGGTCGGGATTTTTTTTAAAAGCCATTTTTCAAAGCTCACTGTTTCATTTTCAAATACTTGACTCTTAATTGAGTATTTGCTGAGAGATGAATATGCTATTTCAGAAAGCGGCTTTGGAAGCCTTTCTGTGGGGGATTCTTGGGTGAGCTGCCTTCTTTTAAAAGCACGCAGCTTCCACCTCTATCTTTAGCAAGAGATCAAGGCCGAGCCCCTGGCAGAGGCAGGCTCTCGCTGGGGAAATAAAGTATTTCAGTCTGGATGTGCAAATTGACCTGGATCGTTTTCGTTTTGCATTCACGTTTGCACTTTGTAAATATTTGCCTGGCACCCTGCTGCTCACACCTGCTTGCTGTCCCCCCAAGTTTATGAAAGGCAGCAGGCACTGTCATTTCTCCATCCCCACCTGGCGCTGCCAGCACTGCCGAGTGACATGAAAACTCACCCGCGAAAGCCACAGGTTTCTCTGACAGGGCCTAGAACTAATGGCCTGTGGCTGGCCGCTGTGACTAATTCTCTGATTATTGACTTTATGATTTTACGCTTAAAACTTCTTTATAATAACACACAGAAATGTTTAATGGGCTCTATCCAGAGCCATAAAAATTACTTATTGAACAAGCATTTTAAAACTATTAATCTATTGTTTTCCATTAATAATGGCCCTCCAAAGAAGAAGCGACAGCTTAATGTATCCACAGCATTTCTCCTCGAAAAGTGGTCTTTTAATACACGAACACAGCTCCCGAGGCGTCATGGCCATTCAGCGGCTGACCCTCCCAGGCCAGATATAAGCCGCATCACTCTCAGAAAGTGCTTCAAGAATTTCCAGAGTGAACAGGGCCCCTGAGAGGTTTCCCTAGACTCTGGGAGAGATAAGAAGCCACTCTCCTCAATTTCTCTCTTCCTGTGAAAAAGAGGAAAAGAACGCTGAGGGCTTGTTCTACAGCCCTTGGCAATGGAGGATGCAGAGGGAAGCAGTCACTTAGGTATCGCTCTACCCTTGTTCCTTCCAGAAAGTCCCAGGTAATCACCTCGTGGCCCTCTTCCTAATTTTTCTGTTGGCAAGTTCATGGCTGGAAGGTTTCTATGACACTATTCCCTTGTTTTTGCTATTTTAGGTGTGCTATCCCCCCACTGGGGTCCTGGTGGTGCAGTGGTTGAGAGCTGTGGCATGCTACAGCTGCTAACCAAAAGGCTGGCAGTTTGAATCCACCAGCCACTCCTTGGAAACCCTATGGAGCATTTCTACTCTGCCCTATAGGGTTGCTATGAGTCAAAATCGACTCGACGGCAATGGGTTTGGGTTTTTTTTATCCCCCTACTATCCCTGCCCCCCATCCCTGGGTGGTACAAATGATTAACATGCTCAGCTGCTAAGGAGAAGGGTGGAGGTTCAAGTCCACACAGGTGCCTCAGAAGAAAGGCCTGCTGATCTACTTCAGAAAAATCACCCACTGAAAACCCTATGGAGCACAGTCCTACTCTGACACACATGGGGTCGCCATGAGTCGGAATTGACTCAACACCAATTGGTTTTTACTGGTTTATTTCCCCCACCAAGCACGAAATGGCTACCCATTTCAAGTGTGTAAGAATTGCCCCTTTTTCCTCATGTCCACTTCTTTTCTTGGGTGATTTAGATTTCAGAGCATATCAGCAGCAAATAGGTACATCTACTACAGTTCCAGGCTGTTGCTTGATTCAACAAATACTTGTTGGGTATCTCCTAAGTACCAGGCGGTGTTCTCCATTCTGGAAATTCAGTAATAAACAAGAAACACGTGGGCCTTGCCCTCATGGAGCTGCCTTCTGTTGGAGGCATGCAGATGACAAGCATGTAAGCAAACAATTGTAGAAAATCATTTGAAGTAGTGATGGGTGCTGAGAAGAAAATAGGCTGAGATTGTGGCTGGGGGCGGGCGGGGGTACTTGAGATAGAGAATTAGGAAGGCGTCTCAGGGGAGGTGGCATTGGAGCAGAGTTTTGAATGACAGGAAAGAACCAGCCCTGAACAATGGGGAAGCACATTCCAGACAGAGGAAAGGCAACACAAAGGGAGTGAGGAATGTACACAGAAGGTGGGGGCGGGGGGGCTGTCTCTCCCTAGACAAAGGCCCTGCCCAGCCAACGACCGTCCCTTACCTGGCAAGTGCAGTGTTCTGCCCAGCCACTGCCTCAAGCCCTCCACATGGCTCCTCGGGATCCACAGGGCCATGTAGTCTGAGAAGCACTCGACCTCTGCAGACAAGAAGATACTCCTGAGAAGGGAGGAAGGACTTCTCTCCCAGGCCTGCTTCAGTGGAATGGTTAGAAAAGAGCATGTAGGAGTTACATGGTCGTCACAGAGAGTGACCCTTAACTCCATACAGACGTCACAGTTCACAGAACATCAGAGGAGAAAGAACCTTAGGGTGGGGCTTCTCAAATGCCAATGTGCCTATAAATCACCTGGGCGTCTTGTTAAAACACCGATTCCGATCCAGTAGGTCAGAGGTGGGGCTTGAGATTCATCCTTTCTAAAAAGCTCCCAGGTGATGCTGATGCTGCTGGTTCAGGGACCACACTTTGAGTGGTGAAGTCCTAGAGATCATAAAATCTAACCGCGGTGTTTTACAGAGGGAGATAGGAAGCCATGTGACTTAATAGTAAGAGAATCCCACTTCTGTTCCATGTTTCTGTGAATCGATGGTGATGATGATGCTGGTGATGATGGTGATGGGGAAGGTGATGATAATGGTGATGAAGATGACAATGATGGTGATAGTGAAGGTGGTGATTTTGATGGTGGTGATCGTAGTAATGGTGGTGATGATGGTGGAGGAGGTGGTGATGATGATGGTGATGGTGGGACTTAGTTCATAGGGTGGAGTGAAACTTGAATGCGTAAAATGTGTATAAAGGTCTATACAGGGTGCCTGTCAGAGAGCATATGCCTAAAGATGCCAGCTCTTCTCAGGATAAGCTCTTATCATGATGATAAATGTGGTCACCCAGAGGTGAAAGGACTTGTCCATGGTCCCAGAGCAGCAGGACCTCGGGCCTAAACTCCCCACCAATGTTCTCCAGCTCATCATATAGTCAAACAAATTTAAGTATCAGAGAAATTGAATAAACATTGGGATACACATGACCTGAAACAATACTGAACCCAATGTAATGATGATGGTGATATGTACCTAATGTAATGGTGGTGATTACAAGAGATACCTCTAACCCCCGACAGGCTCCAGGGTCATCACTGTGAACCAGCCTCCCGTTGTCTGGGAGAGTAAATGGAGAAAATGGGAGCTCTGGGTTGAATCTGCACTCTACAAACATGTGATACCCATGTGTCATTTAAAAGACATAAATAAGCCCTGGCTAGAAACTTGTTTACATGTCACCTGACTCATAAAAGTGGAGTGTGGGGCAAACCAGCCCATTCGTGGAGTTTGAAGCTCAGCTGAGAACTTCAGGTAATGGGCACAGCCTGTGCACAGGCCTGAGGTGAGAAGCAGTATGGAGTGTCCCAGTGACTGCCCGCGCCTGCCTCTGTCCACCATGGCCCCAACCTATTCTCTACACAGCAGCCAAGAGGGATCTTAAAATATAAATGAGATTATGTAAGTCCCTTCTCAGAGCCCCCCATTGCCTCCCCCCACTGCCCTTAGAGTGAAATCCAAACACTTCCACAGTCCTGCCCACTTGTCTGTCCTCTTCCGTCACCACACTCCAGCCAAGCTGGTCTTCTCTGCACTAAGAACCTCTGCACACACTGGTCTTACTGTCTGAAACACTGTTCCCTGCCCTTCACGTGGCTGTCCCCCCTCTTCATGCTGCAGGTCTCAGCTTCAATGTCACCTCCTCTAGGAGGCCTTCCCTGACCACTCCACCATTCTCTACCTTGGTCTGGTGTTTGTTTCCTTCATAGCCCACGTCATTGTTGGAAATTATGTTATCTGCTTGGAGCCCTGGTGGCGCAGTGGTTAAGAGATCGGCTGCTAACCAAAAGATTGGCAGTTTGAATCCCCCAGCTGCTCCTTGGAAACCCTATGAGGCAGTTCTACTCTGTCCTATAGGGTTGCTATGAGTCACAATTGACTCAACGGCAGTGAGTCTTTTGGGTTGTTCACAAGATTTCTGTATGTTTCTACCACTTGAATGAAGATATGCTCAGGAGGGTGGGGACTTTGTCTATCTTCTTCACCACTCTATCCCCAAAGCCCTTCAATGGACCAGAGTCTGACACACAGTGGCTGCTCTGTAAATATTTGTCCAATAAACAGCTATGACTAGACAGGACAAAATGATAGTGATGATGGTGGTGGCGGTGGCCATGACAGTGGTGGCTATAATATAAGATGGCATCATGGTGATAGCGGTGATGATGGGGGGGTGGTGATGGTGATGATGATGACCTGCTGATTTATCTGTTTCTTCTCTCCCCCAACACATAAATTATAAGCTCCATGAAAACGTGTAAATTATGTTTAACTTGTTTAACACAGTACCTCAACACCTTACCCAGTGCCTGGCATCTATAGACACATGATAAATATGTTTATGATCAATAAAATGGTGAATATGTAATATATATGAAAATTCTTGTTTTCATTCCAGGTATACTGGAGTTTTCTGTAATCACATGGAACAATAGTATCAAGTGAGATAGTCTGGCTACATTAAGTGGAATCTTGTTGGATGTGATGTATTTCCCAAAGAGAGCCCTGCCCAGGCCTCCCGAACAGGGTAGAGTTGATAGGGCACTTAGATCAAACCTACTCTAGACATGAGTAATCTGACAACTGGAGAAACGGGAAGTTGAAAAAAATCTTATCTATTGGGTTAATTCCTCTTTCAAAAGAGATATTTAAGCTGCCAGGAAGAACACCAAGTTCTGGGGTTCAGATCCTGGATGAGACCTGGGGTAAGTCATTTAACGTCTCCAAGACTCCATTTCCTCTTCTACAAAATGGACACAGTAACAACACCTCCCTCATTGTATATTATGAGGCACAGGTGGTTCAGTGGTAGACTTCTCACCATCCATAAGGGAGATTTGGGTTTGATTCCTGGCCAATGCACCTCACGCATAGCCACTATCTGTCAGTGAAGGCTTGTTTGTTGCTGTGATGCTGAACAGATTTCAGCAGAGCTTCTAGACTAAGATGGACTAGAAAGAAACGCTTGGTGATCTACTTCCAAAAATCAGCCAATGAAAACCCTATGGATCACAGTGGTCTGAACCACAACCGAGCATGGGGATGACGCGGGAATGAGCAGCATTTCATCCCATTATGCATGGGGTCGCCATGAGTCAGAGGCCAACTCAACGGCATCTAACAACAACCACAAGAACATTTGGTATCAAGAAGATAAAATGAAATGATTCATGTCAAACCCTTAGCACGGGGCCAGGCCTGGAATAATCCTTCAACAATATGTGCTATTCCTGTAGGGCCTTCTATTTGGTATAGTGGCTGTGTGTGGAGACTCTGGCGCTTGACTACTACCCCTTGTTGCTGTGGGATCTTAGACAAGCCATTCGCTTCTCTGGGCCTCATTCTCTTCATCTACAAGTTGTGCTGTGGTAAGGATGAGTTAATAGACACAGTGCCCTGAAGATAGGCCTGGCGCATGACAAGAGCTCTGTGTTCTGGTTTTTATTATTGAAACAAGCTCTGACCTGTGAATCAGGACATCCTAATTCTGTCACCATCCAGCACATGACCTCCAGCACTTGGCCTCCCTGGAATCCTGTTTCCTCACTAGAGAACGAGAAGCTAAAATCCACACTTCTGCAAAGGCTTTCTCACTTCCGAAGTTACCCAAATGTCACGCACAGGTTGGTGATCAGTCAGCTCAGTGGGGAAACGCCCGGAGCCTAAGGGAAACTATAAAAAAGTAATTTCTTTACCTGTCAAAACTTCAAGTGCTGAGCTGGGTCTGTCCCTGTTTGACTTGAAGGGCAGGGTCCATGGGAACACCGCAGGTAGAGCACAGGCAAGACAGACAGCCCTGCAGGAGAGGACAGAAGGGTGTGGTAGGACATGCCGCTGCTGCCTGCTTTGCCTTTACTTGTTCCATCAATTATCCAGTGAAACCTGTGAGAGCCGGAAAACAATGGGACTGCCTTGTTTTTCTGAGTCTTGCAAGTTTTCTGCCTTTGACAAGATACAGTCTTACCACTTTTCTATCCCTCTCTATTAGTGGAAAATATTTGAGTTTTCCTTCTCTGACAGGTTTCCGCCTTACACGGGTTCCGGCTTTCGCAGGGTTTATTGTATTTGAGTGCCTCCCACATGCAGAGACCAAAACAGGGAAAGACCAACCATAATCAAGTAAAGAAAGACATGAGCAAAGTACCGTCACATGATGATCAAGTTCTGAAGAGAATAAAAACTGAGAGCCTGGCTGGAGACTACTTCAGGTGGGGAGGTCAGTGTGAAATGACACGTGACATTGAGCATTGGTCAAAACCCATAGGAATGTACAGCTCAAAGGGTAACCCGAAACCCTCACCCATTGCTAGTGGGAATCCAAAATGGTACAGAGGCTGTGGAAAACAGTTTGGCGATTTCTCAAAAAGTTAAACATAGAGCTACCATCTGACCCAGCAATCCCAATCCTAGGTATAGATCTAGAAAAATTGAAAGCAGAAACGCAAACAGAAACCTGTACAGCAATGTTCACTGCAGCACTTTTCACAATAGCCAAAAGGTGGGAACAACCTAAGTGTCCATCAATAGGTGAACGGGTAAACAAGATGTGGCACATACATACAATTGAATATTATTCAGCCCTAAAGAGAAATAAAGTCCTGATACGTGCTACAACATGGAAAACCTCAAAAACTTTATGCTGAGTGATAAGTCAGCCACAAAAGGACAAACATTGTATGATCCCACTTATAGGAAACAGGCAAATGTATAGAGACCAAAGTTTATTAGTGGTTAGCAGGGGTGGGAGGGAAAAAGGAAGAGAGAGTCTTAGCTTAGGAGGCACTGAGTTTCTGTCAATGGTGGTGGAATAATTTGGAAATGGAGAGTGGCGACGGTTGCACACCATGAACATAATCAATGTCACTGTAAAAAACGTTGAATTGGCAAATGTTTTGTTACGTATTGTTTTACCACGATAAAACAATAGAAAAAAAGAATGAACCCTGATGTAAACTATGGACTTCCATCAATAATAATCATGAATATTGGTTCAATTATAGCAAATGTACCGCAGGAATGAAGAGGTGAA